CATGATGGAGTATCTACATAGATACCACATAAGGAACTCATCTGTGTTTTTGTCAGCTTCTCGGCTCTGTCTGCATTTTGACTACTCTGACTTCAATTTGGTGATTTAACTCGCACTAAAATTAGGAGACGCAGGACAGATGCCCTCTATGGTCCTTTTCTTATCAGGCGATCTTGAGCGGGCAAAGCGGGCGAACGAACGCAGCTATACAGGCGAGGACAAACCCGTGGCCGTCTTGATTGCTTGTTTGCATGGAATTCGTGAATTTCTCGCGATCACGAAAACATCATATATGGAGGAATAGCTCAACAAAATCGCTCGGGGACTACGCAGTGTTAACGCCAAGCATGCCGATTACATATATGTTATTTTGCCGAATAACCATGGCTACGCTTGGCTAATCGGCTATATAGGCTACTCACGAAACTTATCCAGTTATACCTACTTCCTTAAAATGCAACTTAACGATTACCTTCGATACGGAAGATACCAACGCATCCAACAACTATTCATTTTAGTGGATATATATAATATAGAGGAGGAGGCTGCAGAGTGCAAGACGGAAAACCCCGTTGAAGCCCCAAACGAGGAACGTCATCTTGTATTTGTATTGATTAAGTGGCAAATATAAATCTGTTTTTAGTTCCTGCACACCCTAAGCAGCGCACAGCCACGCCACGACTCTCCTGAGATGTTGCTCAATACAGCGCGTGTCGAGCTGGGAAAGCGACAGTGCGAAGAAACAATGAATTTGGAACATACTTATCAACAAGTGGCACCCATGCCCACGTCCGTCCACGCCAAACATATTTTTACCGTTGGGTTGCAGGCCAACTTCAAGTTAACACAGACCACACTAGGCCAGGTATATGTGTTTTGGAACGTACAACTTCACATCCGTCCGCTTCACGGCCATGTATGGGTGACCACTGCTGGCATATGAAAGATACATCTGCATCACATTTGTATATCTTAACTTTCCTGCACTTATCTGGAGATAAGAAATAAAAATGTAAAAAGTTGTGGAAGTCCATCTAATTGAAGCAGTGGCTGACACATACAGTTTCCTGTGGTCAGTGGAGCCCTGTAGGCCGGGCAGAGATAACATGAAATTGTTGGAGAGAATGTGATAGATATGATGGCATCAATGAGCTATCACAAAAATGGAAACACAATTTATAAAAAAACACAAATGCATAATCTAGAATAAAAAATTAGAGCCACGCAATGAATCCAATGGCTTACTCAAATGATACTTCACAAAGTCGATGGAGCTCAGGGGAAGAGGTATTATGGACTAGGGTAATTAGGAACACTTGGCATATGGCACATACAGGTCCATGACTCATGGACAACACACACCATCAACCAGCTACACAACTATGTTATAGAAAAAAGATGAAGGGGGAAATTCAGTTTGAAATACTGAACCAATTGCTAAGCTCTGTTACAGTCTCCATGTCAGCCAGCTGAACTACCTGCGCTATTCCCAACATACTCAGCGCCAGCCTCCTGCCATACCATATGTTAATTGCCAACCAGTAGCTCAATCGGCAAAATGCTGGTCATCCTGCCACTGCATTGCCAACATGTGGATTCATGCTCCTGGATGTTAGAAATGTGAGATATGACAAGGATTATCAGTTGGTGATAGACCTGGGGTACTAGCTGTCATGTCATGCTATGTCACATGACATGCCATGTGACATGGCATGTCAAGGTATTACAACATTGACCATTAATTGAACCAGAATTGCATGTTCAGAGCCTTCACAACAATATATGCTTGGAAAGCACATCACTCATTAACAAGCACACAATGATACATGGGCATCTCAACATTGCTATGACCCACTGTAAAGCATGTGCTCTATTGTCCAAAAACAATGTACTACTTCCTGTCATCTTTTCATGGTTGGATTGATTTTTTCAGGCTTTTGCATATTGTCCAATATCTTCAGACCATGCTGCAAGATGGCAAAGTCAATACAATATATCATGGGCTGGAAAAATATAACCAGTATGAGGGAATACAATGTTCTGGAGCGTCATCAACCCTGACTGCAAGTGGATGCGTCAGGTATGTAGAACATTAGGTAAAGTGTTATTGCAACAGACATAAATGACAAACCTCTCCTGTTAATTCTACATCACCTATGTAAATAAGACATAAGTATTAGCCTTATTCCTCAGAGATAACTGGGAGAACAGAGATATAGTTGGCTTGATATTTTGGCAACATGTGTTTATCAAAACAGAAGCAGAATTTTTTTTCAATTTTCTGTCCTATCTACATGAAAAGTGTTCCTCTCTAATGCACTGAACAAATTACCTATACAATACATTTAATTGCATGTTCAAGTGTTTGCAATGGATAGGGATATGTGTATGCAGACTAGTCAGAATTTTGAAGATATAGCCCATTCCTATGTTTACTGGTTGTAGAGTGTGCAAACCTCTATAGTTAAGAAACATACACATCATCCTGTAACAGCTTGCTTTTCAAGTTTTCCTTTTGTATTCTGTGTGCTGTTTCCAAATGTGATAATGTGTTAGTGTAATGAATGTGTGATAAATGTGTTAGCGTAATGAATGTGTGATAAACATGTTCATGTGATGAATGTGTGATAAATATGATAACCTGGGAGCATCCAATGCTCTACCCTCACTGTTAAAATAAAAAGGGTTTCATCATATGAGGTGAGACCACACCATGTGTGATTCAAGCTAAAAGTAAGCAAATTCAGCAACTCCTACTTTAGTTAAGGCTGATGGAACACGTTATGATTAGAAACCAATGTTTCACCATTTGCCTACCAGGCAGCTGTCTCAAAGTTTAGATGGAAAATGTGTAATTAGCCACATGACATGTAAAGGGAAAACAACTGAAATACATCTGCTTTTAAAGGAGTGTTCCACATTCATATGAGGCTTTAAACCAAAATAGCCATTCTGAAGACATTTTGGTGTTGTTCGCAATCCTGCCCTTCTTATGACCTAAGCCTGTCTAGTTTCTGGGCTACATGCCTGCAAAAACTTCCGCATTCACAAGGTCATAATAAAACCATTTAAATCCTACCACTCCATAAGCCATGAGCAATCATAGCTACGAAAAACATCATTCTTCCAAGGGTTTATATCTGCCATTCCTAAGAGAGATTTTCAGATAGATTTCCAGACTTCCAGATATACCAGCTGTCAATTGGCTCTCAATCAATGTTGCATGAGGCATGATATAACCAAACCATGATGCATTCAGGAACATATTTACTAAATAGAAAATAATGCTGTCTTAAGCAGCTTTTTCTACTTACACCATATACCAAGAGTTATAATTGAGCTTGAATCATTCTGGTGCTTGCTTTAAGACCTTCAAATGTGAAATACTCCCTTAAAGGATCTAAATTGCAACATCAGTACTGCCATGTAATACTATGCTTGTTCTTATTCATAAGCATCTCTGAGGAGCATTCAATGATTTTATAATATTTGAACTATCACATGCAAATATTCTGCAGAAATTTCATTACATAAATAACAACCTACTGACAATTCCTACATCTAATAGATATAACAAACCACTTGCCTCTTCTCTCTACTCCCTGTCAATTAAACCCATTCTAAAATTCCCCAGTTTTCAGCATAGATGCTATTGTTATAGAGAATAGTCTCCCAGCTAGGATAATGTGATCAGATACACTTATTTCTCACTCTTGTCCTGCAACCATGACATTACACTCAATCCATGCTTAAACAAGCCCTTTACTCTAGCTAACTGTGTGCCATGAGCTTGCATCCTGGAAACTGCTCAAGTCATGTTTGTGGTTTCTTTCAAATGAGATAAGCACCTATCTACCTACCACAAACCATGATCTTTAATGGTCCACTTTCTCAATCTTGCCCCCACAGGAACTGCAGGTGTTAATTCTAAGGATGTCACATTCAGTGTTTCAGCTCAAGACATTCCACACTCTACCTCTGGCTTCCAGCCATGAAATAATCTAAGACAGTGCCAGATTACACACCAGACAGGTAGCTAGGTACATGCCTGTCTACATCCCAGAATATGAAACCACCACGCAGCATGCTTCTTAGTTTTTCAAAACAAATGTCATTCTGCTAAGAATTACTAAAAAAAACTTACCATTTTCATGTTCCTCACTGCTACAATTGTCCGAGGGCGAAATCATGGTTCCGCTGTTTCTTAAGGCTTCAGTATAGAACTTTAATAACAACGATCGCAGCCTGGAGGCTAGGAATCTAGAGTTATCATATCACATCACTGGTATCACAATCTTCTGAGATGGTTTAACTCGTGCTGTTCTAACAAATTACACTTTTGGGCCCTATCGGCAGTGGGGATTGCAGCGTCCTAACATCTCCCGCTTCCTACAACGCGCCGAGATTCCCAAAGTGGGCGGTCAACACGTTTGGTTGCTTCATATCTTTCTGCGGTAAGTTTGCCGCGTTTGGCACGAGCTTTCAGTTTCAAAAAAAGGCAGTCAAATTATAATTACAGTCTACGGATCGCGTCAAAGCCTGGTAACAAATGTCATGCGTGCCTCGTTACAGATTTTAGAATTTAGCCTGATCCACACCAGAGACATAGACTGCCCATTTATTTTGACGCTGGCCAAAAACAAAATTGGCTGCTTTTCTACTTCCAGAATAAAATCGAAATTACTGCTGCAGTGCTAACTGGCATAAAGGTATGGCTGCTTTTCTACTTCCAGAATAAAAAACATCGACAAAAGATTACTGCTCTGCAGTGCTAACTGGCATTAAGTTTTTTGATTATTTTAAAGGTTTGGGGCGTCATATACATAGATGTCAATCTAGTGGTGGTGTACGTTGCATGAGTTGAACAATTTTATATTAGTAGTATGGTTTACCTGTCGGGTTTAGTTTGTCATCTTTATTCAGTATTTTGAATTACAGAGTTCCTGAGAAAACAGGTGCGATCGAGACTGCGCGATATTGTTTGCTGCAATCAAGGTCGAAAATAGCTAGCGTCACGCTTGGTAATGGGGCGTGGTTCCGCAAAGTTGGTTGAGGATGCTGTGTGAAAAAAATGGTAAGCATGCCGGCAAGAGATACTAATTTATCTTATCTCCAAATCTGATCTACTTCTTTCTGAAAATAGGGCGTACAGCCTTCCCTGCAACACGGGAGTTTGTTTGGGGTGGGGAGGGGGCCAGCGGCACCTTTTCTTTCGATGAACCACCGTCAGCCAAGTGCTATTTGGGATGTTATCCCCATTCTCAGGGTGGAAGCTCGAGTCCACCGCACTCATGACACGATAGTTCGGGTGCCTATACCCCCTCCCCATCTGAGTAGGGAACTACACCCCTGCTTAAAGCCTAACCCAAAGCCACCCAGGCATCGTCAGCAGCAGCTTGTGCACTTTCACGTTGTCTGCCGTTCTCGGGGCGCAGTGTAGGCTCAGACATTCTTCCCGCCATTGAATGACCTGCGATTGCGGTTTCGAAAGCCTGTCGTAATACTCCCGCTGCACAAACTGGACAAAGAAGCATAAACTTGTAAATTCATTCCTCCTTTATGTTGCGGTCTCAGGGCCACCTGCCGGCGCGCTTGTCTTTTTGATCCCCCAGCGGCTTATAGCGTCATCTCAGTGTTTACATCTCTCCCTCTCCTCCTCTCCCTCTCTCTCGCTTTCTCCCTCTTTTTATGGTTCTCGAAGTCTCTTTTTCATAATCGTTAGATCTCGCACCGGCAAACAGACATCCGCATGCCCGCATAGAAGGCCTCACTTATCTGCACCACACCACTGCCAGCACTCGAGTACACATCGCGCGCCGCCTCTGTTCGCTCTGGTTGAAATCCTACACAGCCTTTCCTTTCAAATTAAACATACGTGATGTATGTGGCCCCACTTGCGGTACTATTTACTTTAGTTGGTCAGCGATATGATAACGCTCTTTCACGGCATCTTTCCCCAGCCGAGATATAGGTTGTCATGACCGCACTGGTAGCAAACCAGGCATACCGAAACCATGACTCAGTTGCATGAGAGTTTCCAACCATGTGGCCTGTTTCAGCACACAGCCTACGTCAGAAGGAAGACATGCGGACGAAAATAGCCCTGGCCATTGCCGTGCTCCGCACGCGACCACCAGAGCTCTCCGTGCGAGAGTGCGTCGAATCGCTACGTCAAGCGGTGGAGAAGAACGCCGACCCGTTCGCGGACGTGGCAGCCGTGCTGGCCGAACAGCGGGCTCTGTTCGAGCGCGACAGTCCGGCGCCGGGCGAGGCCGCAGGAGACGGCGGCGGCTCACCAGTCGAGGAGCCCGGCTGCCGGTCGCTGCTGTACCTACAGGCGGTGAGCCGGCTGCAGAGGACGCTGGGTGGCAGCGGCGACGCCGAGGAGTCGGCGCCGGAGCTGGATGCCGCGGTGGACACGGTGCTGCGCCATGTGTCGGAGGCGGCGTGCGACGCGGCGCCCGTCTGGCTGTCGCTGCACCACGGCCTGGAGCTGGCGGCACGGCTGCTGGCGGCCCGGCCCGCCCGACTGCTGGCCGCCCGCGGCGCCGCCCTCCGCCTGCTGGACAAGCTGCTGGCCGCCGTGCTGTCCGCCATCGACCTGAGCCGCCAGCCGGGGCAGCAGCACATGTGCCGGTTAGCGCTGGCGCTGGGCCGCGTGCCGGCGCTGGCGGCGCCCCTGCTGACGCGGCTAACTGGGCTGTTGGCGACGGCCGCCGCCGAGCTGCAGCGCGCCCACCGCTGCCTGCTGCTCGGCCAGCCCGTGCAGCCCGACCATGCCATGACGCTGGAAAACTCGCATTACTTGCTGACCATGCTGCAGACGCTGCTGGAGGAGGCGCCGGCTGGCCGCACGGACCGCCGCTGGACGGTCGCCGCGCGCGCGCTGGCAGAGGAGCTCGAGCGAGCCGCCCTCTTCATCTCCGACCGCTTCCCGGAGTTCGTCCGGTTCGTGTGGCGGCTGCTGCAGCTGGCGCAGCGCTGCCGCGGTCGGCGCGACGGGCGAAGGTGGCTCGTAGGGTGCGCTGGGCGCTGATGCCAAGACCGTGCGTCACGGCCGGTGTTGACGCCGCGCGGCTGGCCTCCGATCCGAGCGGCTTGGCGGAGCGCCGCCGATTCTGGCGGCGGACCAGGTCGGCGTCGTTCACGAACGCCGCGTCACCGGCGCGCGCGGACGTCAGCGGCAGCGTGCGTGCCGGCGTGGTGAGTATCCACCGGCACAGCCCCGCGAGAGTCTGGGCCGCCGCAGGAGTCACGGCGTACCGTCCTCGCCCGCCGCCAGCGTGTCGCCCGCGGCGGCGAGCCCCGCGGCTCCGCCTGTGACCCGGAAGCGCGCTGGGGGGCCGGGAGCCCGGCTGGTGACGGTGGCGGCGCACCTCGGCTGGCGCCGGCAGGTCGGCCTCGGGGCCGCCGGCCCGCTGGCGGCGCGCGGCTGTCTCCCGGTCGGCGCCGCTCGCCCGGCCCCCGCCGTCAGTGGGCCGCCGGCGGTCTCGGACACGGGTCGGTCGTTAGGCTCGCTCTGCAGTCGGCCGTGTCGCACGACAGCGCCTGGCTCGGACGACGGCCGCCGCTCTGAGACTCTGCTCTGAAGCTCTCCGCCTCGACATGGCTCGGGCACCGACGGTCGACGGGGCGACAAGCTCGTCCCGCTCGAGGTGAGTGTGGCGTCCTTCCTCAGTGTCTTTATGATGCGCCTATTTTGCCGGCCATCAATTGGCTTAAGATCAATCCGCCAATTTGTTTTCAAATGTGTCGAAAATAAATTCAGATTCAAACCGATGGGTCTTTTCAATGAAGAACAGCGACAGCAGATGACGAGAAAGAATGGAAAATAGAGATTGCGCGAGAATTTTGCGAGGGCGGCAAGAATGTAGGCTTGCCACATGCGTTGCAATTCGAAGCGGTGGAACGAGTGCTAGCTCTTGTATCGAAACGCTCCCGGTGACTGGCGGGAAACCGTGATGAACGGGTGCTTGAGGTGAGTGATGTTTGCGGTATATCGGAGGTGGGCAGGTACTTAACACCCTTGTGTGTGTGGGGGGGGGGGGGGGGGAGGGGCGTCATGGCCCAATGACGGTGAGACCGGAATAGCACCATCACAGCGGGAACATTTGATTGTCAAACTGGTGTCAGCCGTGTTTGGAGGCCGGCAACTGAGACTGGGCTTTAACAATCAGAGGGCAGTTTTACAAAGACTGCAGTTATTTGAAAATATCCAATTCGGTGCCATGATCTCTGTCCAATCAGCACAACTAATCGTATCTCACCAACCAAAAACCGTGTGAGCAAAAATTCCCAGAAAGTGTGGGAAGCCATGTCATGGGACATGAGAGGACCTGGGAACAGAGGCGAGGATCCTCGAGATAAGTTTAAGGGAGGGAGACTGAACCGGGAAAAAATGAAAGCTGTCCTCGAATACGCGAAAGGCGAGCTTCTCCCCGACTTTGGGCCACTGTCTTCTCGAAGTTAGTGTCGCCTCCCCCTCCATTCAAATAGGAGATACACTTCTGCCGGGGTACCAACCGGGATCACACTCCTCTGCGGTTGATTGTGGGCTGGTGTGCATATGTGCTTCACATGTTTCGTCATGCCCAGCTGGTTGGCTCCACTTGGGTTCTATAGACCATCAAACCGTCATTGGGGATCTGACCGTACGGATGCTGGCCATTATAGACCATCAAACCTTCATTGCGGATGTTGTTCCGGAGGCGCATCCGTGAGTCCTGACCATGTACCTGTGCGCATCGACGGCATCCGCGCCCGGTCCCCCTGCTGAATGCCGAGCGCTCGCACCTGCGGGCCTCAGGGCCGTCAGGGGATGTCGGGCCCCTCACGCGACTCTCGTCACGCCCGTCCGCGCGACTGTGCGCTGTCCTTGGCCCCGGTCGCAGTCGGCGTCCAGCCAGCGCTTAGCGGCCGACAGGCCGTGTCGCTCCCCCGTGCCGGCTCTCAGCTCGGACGTGGGCGGACCGGGGCCGCGGGCGGCGGGCCGTGTCGCTCCCGGACTGTCTCTCAGCTCGGACGTGGACGGACCGGGGCCGCGGGCGGCGGGCCGTGTCGCTCCCGGACTGTCCCTCAGCTCGGACGCGGACGGACGGGGCCGCGGCCGGCAGGCCATGTCGCTGCTGTACTGTCTCTCAGCTCGAACGCGGACGCGGACGGACCGGGGCCGCGGCCGGCAGGCCATGTCGCTGCTGTACTGTCCCTCAGCTCGGACGCGGATGGACGGGGCCGCGGCCGGCAGGCCATGTCGCTGCTGTACTGTCTCTCGGCTCGAACGCGGACGCGGACGGACCGGGGCCGCGGCCGGCAGGCCATGTCGCTGCTGTACTGTCTCTCAGCTCGAACACGGACGGACCGGGGCCGCGGCCGGCAGGCCGTGTCGCTGCTGTACTGTCTCTCAGCTCGAACACGGACGGACCGGGGCCGCGGCCGGCAGGCCGTGTCGCTGCTGTACTGTCTCTCAGCTCGAACACGGACGGACCGGGGCCGCGGCCGGCAGGCCATGTCGCTGCTGTACTGTCTCTCAGCTCGAACACGGACGGACCGGGGCCGCGGGCGGCAGGCCGTGTCGCTCCCGGACTGTCTCTCAGCTCGGACGCGGACGGACCGGGGCCGCGGCCGGCAGCCCATGTCGCTGCTGCACTGTCTCTCAGCTCGGACACGGACGAACCGGGGACGCGGCCGGCGGGCCGTGTTTCTCCCCTGTTCCGGCTCTCAGCTTGGACGCAAACGGACCGAACAACCGGGTCTATACGGGCTGCGGCCTGTACGGCCAGTCACTATGGGGCAGATAATTATGATTTCCACTAGCACTGGGCTTGGTTCTCTCATGTACGCCGGTGAAATTTGAAGGTTAAACTGAGATCGGACTTTATCGGCATGAACCAGAAGCAGTAAATTGTGTATTCGAGACACGATGAAGCATCTTGCATGCGAACCGAATTCGACGGTTGATAATAATCCGCGCACGAAGAGCGTGACACGACGACCATGCCTCGGGTAGCGAGCGGTCCTTGTTTTGAATTATCTCTGTTAGGATGACTTGCTATGACGATTTCTTCAACAAAAGGAATTGGCGCAATGAAGCAATGACGGGACAGGTCAGAGCAGCGTGTCTTTCCCGTCATCGCAGCGAATAGAAAACAGTGAAAACCAAGTCATTGCGTGGGCGACGCTTTCGCCAGAATTGGTGTCATCGATGACATCATCGCTGCGGATCACTTAGCGGACGCAGCATGTGACGTTTCCGTTTCTAAATGTCGTCGCGCTGACATTGCAACACTACGAACGACTGGTTCACGCGAAGCACGGATAATGCGAATAGCATGTCTTTTGAAGCGATGAGTTCTACTAAAGCAGCCGCTCACGTTTTTCAGGAGCGAGCACACATTCGGAAGCCGAGGGCGGTTGTCAACCGCGTGAAATCTGGGACGCTTGAAGTACTGCCACTTTTGCACTTCGCCTTCGGCCATGTCATAGACTAATGCGTGCTTTGCGGGAAGCGCCACCAGTTAGCATTCACCTTCTTTCGGAACCTTGTCAAAGCCAACACTTTCCTGAGTGAAAAAGTGCGCGCAGCGTTAAAAGATAACCGCTTAAAAGACATCTGCATATGAATCAGCGCAGTACGCCGGGCAACTTTTGACATATCGAACTCAAAAGCCTTTCTGTGGGTGGTAGCGTTAATCCCTTTTATCAAAATCAGCATGTGAAGTTTTGATCGCAGGCCGCATTAACGCACAGGCTATTTCCACTGTTCGTAGACCGTGATCAGGTGGATCTGGCGTATACTTCGGAAAAAGTGAATCATTCTTAAAAAAGAAAGATTGAAATAAAGAAATAAATTAAATTAGATAAATAAATTAAAAAATAAGTTAAAAAAGAAAATAAAGAAAAAATGTACAGCCGACCGAATATAACTGGGATTGATGTGACCGACCTTAGCGGTCCTTCCAATGTTGAAAAGGTTGGCCAAAGCTGAACCGCCGGCTTGCTCTTGGGTCGTCCTCAAACCGAATGCCGTTCAGCAAATGCAATCATAAATGGCTGCTGCTCGCTAGATCTGCTCGTTCCGACTGCTGGCTAGTGCCCTGCGTCTGTGACATCAACATGGAATAGTAGACATGGGTTATTGTAACTGTTCGTCCCGGTCGTAGCAAACAACGCAGCGTCGTCTTGTCGGCACAGCATCGATACGAATGCCCAGTGTTTTGATTCAGGCGAGAAGCAAATCTGTGGACAATATTGCGGCCGGGCCAGTTGCCGCGGCGTCTTGACCTTTGACCGCCATGCGTTTTACGTACCGGCGTGGGACTGCCCCCTCCCTCCCCCTCACCTCCTTCCCGCCCCTTCCGCACGTTGGTGTTCGGATCCACGCCCTGGCACATCCACAGGCACACATAATGTTGAATACCACATGGGCAGCTTTGTTATAGAATGTGCCGTCTCTAAACGTACATTGAGCCGAAGTATTTCATTAAAATGGCATTGTGGATAAGTGAAACGTAAATTAAGTGCAAAGCCTTATCGCCATTGCTTCTGTCGTATCACCCAACATTGGGTGCAAGCTAAGCCCGCCGCGGTTGCTGCCGATCAATTAGATTTTTTTTTTTTGCCTCGTCTTTGCTGCAGTTTGCCAGGCATTCACGGACCACTGGCTTGCGGCGGCGTAGAAGACCGTATTTAGTGACAGAAACAACTGCACTGCCTCTGAAAACAGGAAAAAAAACTTTGCCATCTTCGCGCAAACTGGCCAGACGGGCTTTATTGCGTCATTCTGGTGGCAGCGATGAGGTGACGAAATGAAGCGGAAGTCAAGCCTTGGCCGCCAGACCTACTCGGCAATTTTGGCCGCAAAAATGGATTATGCTCGCAAGATGTCCTTTGCATGTCAGTCTAAGGTGATTTAAAACACCTGGTGCCAACCGGGACGAGCCTTGCTGATCCACTGCTCTCCACTTATCAGGTTGACTGATGTAACTGGAGTGCGAAGCGCCTTGTCGGTGCTACTTAGCTGCGTTAGCCAGGAACAGACAGTTGTTTGCAGTGCTTTGATATGGTGCGGCCGGGCTGGGGATTCCCTCGTTAATGCCCACGCTTGTCATGCGAACTGCACGCGTTGAGAAGTTTAAGGTCCGTGCTGCATTGTCTTGGTGCAACGTTCCAGTTGTCTGCATGCTAGGGTTTGGTTTTTAGTTAGATTCGATTGTTATTAAATCGCGTCAGTTTTTTGAGTCCCGAGCTGGGGGGAAAAGTCGTCGCTGATAGCATGCTATGGTGTGTAATGCAACACAAATGGGTAGCGCTTTAATGTTTGTTATTGTTTCCCTGATTCCAGCCTGTGCTGGTACTGGAACGTCCAGTGAGATACTGTAGATCTTCCCGTGACACGTGACACCTGCGATAGAGATCTTCCCGTGACACGTGACACCTGCGATAGGGTTTGCCCACACTGCGTAACCGATGGGGAGTCCTTTCACCACGCTTCCGGCGTGCAGCTCTTTCACCGTGGTCCCAGCGTCTAGTAATTGGCGTCTGTGGTCCCCTCCGCGGAAGTGTTGTTCGCTCACCGATGAGTCGTGGCTTGGATGGCGCAGGGCCCTCGGTGACTGCGGAGCCGTGTCTCTTTGGCGGAGTCCGCGCACCGATGAGC